AATTTGCAAAAGTTATTCCTATTTTTAAATCAGGTGATCGCAATAATTCGTCCAACTATAGGCCAATCCTTCTTACCAGTATACCTTGCAAAATAATGAAGCACGTCATCTACTCTCAAGTTATGGACTATCTGAACGATAACAGCTATCTCTCACCCAACCAGCATGGCTTTCGTAAAACCCTTTCATGCGAAACTCAGCTATTTGAATTTGTGACGGATTTGCATGGCAGCTTTAGCGCCTCCTCTACCACCGATGCAATCTTCAATGGTTTTGCTAAGACCTTCGACACTGTCCCTCATCAACCATTACTAGAGAAACTTTCAATTCTAAATATAAACAACGACGTTATCAATTCGATTTCTTGTTTTCTAGCTAATCGGGAACAGTTTGTGTGAATAGACGACGACGACACTTCCATCCCATCCAATTTCAGTAAAATCCGCGCGGGGTACCACAGGGCAGTGCCCTAGGACCCTTGCTCTTTCTGGTTTAGATTAATGACCTACATCCGCTAATTTCGTCATCCGTAAAACTTTTCGCCGATGACTGTGTTATATACCGCCGGATTTCTTATTCCAGTGACTCGGAAATCCTCCAACGAGATATTGGCGGATTCAAATCCCGGCCGAGGTGCCCGCAATCTGACGGAGGCTTATTGCGGAGAAGGCGACGTGTAACCGAGCTTTCGGTTGCACGTCAAAAAAAAAATTCCATGTGGTCCAAATTAATCCTCAGTCCTCCGCTGGGGCGTGCCAGATGCCCGTCGTTGGTTTGACACGTAAAACCCCCAAATTTGAGTTTTCTCCAACGAGATATAGACATTCTGGCGGAATGGTGCCTAACATGGCAAATGAATATTAATATCGCGAAAACAAATATTGTCTCTTTCAATCGTTAAACGACATATATTCCATCCTACACTTACAACTCTGTTGCTATTTCACCTGTCCCCCCTTATAAATACCTAGGTATCCCTTTCACGGAGGATCTCTCTTGGAATTCTCACATTGATGACATAATTAACAAATCATCTAGAACTCTCGGTTTTCTTCGGAGGCCAAGCCCGACAGGATGTAAGGCTAATGGCACACAAAACCCTCGTCCGATCTAAACTTGAATATGCCAGCACGATTGGGGACCCTTACCAATCTTACCTGGTCAATTTGCTAGAGTCAATTCAAAACAGGGCAGCCTGCTTTATTCATCGTAACTATTCTTTCAAAAGCAGCCTGTCCCAACTTAAGGGTCGTTGAAACCTAACTTCCCTCGATGTACGTCGCAAACTATCTCGTCTTTCTCTTTTTCATAAGATATATTATCATATGCCATCTTTCATACTGATGTACTGCAAGCTTTCCTCATACATTTCCCTACGTCATGATCATTCTCTGAAGGTGGAGCCAATATTCGGTCGCACTAATAGATTCAAATTTTCACCACTTGCGCTTTCTATTAAAAACTGGAACTCCCTCACTGACGATATTGTTAAAGAACAAGATCCTTCTGGGTATTTCGCAAGAAATGTTTAATTCTACTGACTTGATTAGCGAACACTATATTTGCCTCATTATGTTAGTGTCAATTACCAATGCTACCGATCCCTGTGTGTAGTTTTCCTTCGTATGTTTATGTATTGTTTATGTGTACGTGAAATTAATGTTTAATCTATTTGGTATGTTGTTATTGCTGCTACGAATTTTTGTTTCCCCCTCATATAAGGCATTCCATGAGAATGCCCTTGAGGGTAATGAACTTGAACTTGATACGGTTCTTCCCGCCTTTCTAAGCCAATGGACCTTTTCCGAGAAGCGTTCTGCGCACGGGCGAGCGCCCGATGCCAAGCGGCGGAAGTCGGAACGAAAAATCGAGGAAATTCGGAATGAGCCTGTGGATAAGCGAGTAGGACAGGTAATTGCAGCATATATATAATGGGGTTACACACAAAAAGAAAGTGGATGGAAGGAAAAACACAACGATTGGGTGGACGCCACGGATGCCCATCTTTAAGCTCGCGTTGGGCACGCGACGCAGCTTGGAGAGCGAAGAAACTGGTAGCGTAGCTCCCGGTATCGATTGGTAGCGCAGGTAGGTCACTTCCTGGATTTTTAGTTCGTGCAGCCACCGCCTGGTGCCGTCGGTATGTGGAAAAGGTCCATTCGGAGCGCAAGTTCGTCTGCTTCTTTTGGAGGGGCTGTGGTGACGTCAGAACGCCGAGCTCTAATTGGCTCTGATTGAAGGATAGTGAGTAGACCTCAAAGCAAGCTGCCTTAAGGTCTACACACTATCCTATAATCAGAGTCAATCCAAGCTCGGTGTTCTGACGTCACCACAGCCCCTCCAAAAGAAGCAGACGAACTCGCGCTCAGCTCTGACCCCGAAAGAATGACGTCACTGCTCCAAACAAAATCGTTGCTGTAGGGTCTTCTTGTTTACTAATACATGGGACTGGATTTCGCTCCGAAAGAACGATAGGTCAAAAATCGGACGTGGGATTAAAACGTCTAAACACGAATAGATATATGAAGCCTAGATTTCGCACTTGCCACGACAGCAGTTTGCCGAGCATCTGCAATCTTTGCGACGACAACTTCTGGTCCTAGAGATGTCTTGAGATGCCTGCTGCAGACGACGAACGCATAACAACCGCACACGAAATGACTGAAGTATGCCGTCTGCAATAGTTTAAATCGTTTGTGCAATGATACGATTCTAATTTTGTATTAATTTGAAACGTGGCGGGCCTAAGAGAACTCATCAGGTTTTTAAAAAGGAATCGTATTTGTGTGCGATACGGGGTACTTTCTGACGAAAATAATCACACACATGTACATCTACTAAAAATAGAGCGAAAAAACATCTACTTAGAACATGATATCAATGCAGCGTGGAGCCTTTTATTTTGCAGTTGACGCGCATTGTAATGCAGGAGCAATTCTTTTGACTCAAACATTATCGATTCGTGACCCTAAACTTCGTTTTTTTCTGGCTCGCCGTATGGGGGTGTGTTTCGTACTTACTTGTAATGATCACACTGAGAAAACAACGTAGTGATTCTTCAGTTTTAAGTAAGACCACAAATAGCGAAGGAGCTGGATTATAGGGACTTCTTGCAAACCTTTACCGTGTTCCGCGTACCGCACTACTGGAGCCTTTGAAGCATGCCCCGCGGTCACGGTATCACCCGGGCGCGCGCTTAAAAGCATGCTTCAAAGGCTCCGGTAGTGAGGTACGTGGAACACGGTAATGGTTAGCTAGAAGCCCGTAACAACATCGGGTAAGTTCTATGTCTCTATTACGGAGAGTTTGTTTTATCACACAAATGTCCACTGAAGCAAATTCTGTGTTATCAGGACTCGATCGAAACGTGTGCTGGCCTTCACTTGGACCTGGATGCACTTCACGTCGTCGTTGTACGTGATTCGGCTTCACAATGTTTTCACCTTGCGGAAGCGAGTTCCATGGGAAGGCGTTCGCGCACCTCAAACGTTGATCAAAGCTGTGTACGGGCACACTTCGCTTTCAAAATCCCACAGAAAGTTGACCCCGAGAATGGAAGTTTCGTCGATAGTGACCAACTTTATTTAACGCAGTCGCGTACATCCTCAGAAAGAACCCCTGAACCTGCGAAGCCGTCGTGTCGTCTGCTAGCAAGGCGAAACCGGTTGTGGAACTTTATTGTGGGCTATTGTCATCGCTTTATGGCACTGAGACGATAGAAAAAAAGTCTTCATGATTATATATTACGAAGACACAATGCATACAAAAAAGCTCGATGTACACCTAAGCACTTCTTATGAGTTGTGAATGCTAAAGCACGCACGCCGTTCTTCGCTCCCATCTTTCGTCTGTGGCGTACGGCGCGCTAACCTTGGGCGTGGAGCGGTGGAACCGCTGCCTCGCGGAAACGCAGCGCCATCGGGTGAGCGATCGTTGAAACTGACGCGCAGTGGCCAATGGGATCCTCGTCGATGCGCGCCAGCCACTGTGACCGAAGCCGAAAATTCATCAGCTTTACTTCGCTCCTTTGGGATCGGGGAAACTAGGTGCCGTGTCTAGGCTTTTCGCGTGGTTTCATAGTTGGGAGCTGGCTACACTTGGATTAAGGATTTAAGGTGCCGTTTTCGCGCTTTAAATTGATGACGTCGGCTCGCTCCATGAAACCAGTTAATGCTCTCGCATTAAAAAAAATATTCGCTTTCTTATCAGACAATTTCTAACTTCATGTCGAGCTCCCATGCATTTGTCGATAACAACGGCCTTAGCAATGGCTTGTTTGGAGCAAAGCGCCTTATTTGTGACGTCATCACTTCCGGGGTCAATTCTCTCCCTCTAATTCTACCACCAGGAAATGGCGACCACCAGTGTTGTTTGATGGGGCTTTGAAAAGAGTCTTTCGTCACCGTGACTATGGTATGGCGCTGCTTGTATGCTGCTTCTTCTCGGTGGAAAGGGAAGGGGAAGATAATTAAAGGAATAAAGACATACCAAATGTGTGGCAGTAAGAAGTTATGCAATGATGTGCCGAGCGTACATAAAAAGGGTACACGTGAACACTTGAAAAATAAATTCACACAAAACGCCCCAACAGTACCAACAAGCTTCAACGGTCTGCCGAAAGTGTATGATCTCGCTTTGGTTTGTGCGGATATAAGTAATATCTTCACAGGCTGTGCACCTGACGACGAGCTGGGTTAGGTTATACAATGTTAAGCATGTCCAAGTGAATGCTTTTGTAAGCTTTGATAGTTAGTGACTCAGCATTTTTCGCCTGAGTGATAAGCGCTGGAAAAGTCTATAGTAGCGTTACACAAGATCTTAGCAAGCTATGAAGCTGTCGTGGGTCAGGGTGCGCGTAGGTTGAACAATATGTTATCCTGGCTGAAGTTTAAGCTCAGATAAGCTTTGTTCGAGTTAGCCTGTGCTTGATTAGGATAGGTCACGATATAAATCTCGTTTTCGCTGCAACTATTTTTAATTGTTCCTTTATGTTTTTGCAGCTCCACCTAACATTCTGTTTATCGTGGCCGACGACCTAAGGCCGACCCTTGGGTGCTACGGAGACGACTTGGCTCTGACGCCGGCCATCGACAGCTTGGCTCAAGAGGGCGTGCTCTTCGCCAATGCTCACGCTCAAGTAAGTGATGGAAGCTGCAGTTCGGGTCGGGGCCTATCGATTGCCATGACCTTCTAATACCACACCCGTTGTAATTCCCCTTGCTTGGGCAGCGTTTCTGCCTCTAGTATTTGTAAATAAATAATAAATAAATAAATACATTTTAGTCCGCCGCACGGAAGGTAATATATGGCTCGCGTTTGACTGACAAGTGCCCCTTTTTACAACTACAGCAGTTTTGGCGAGCTTATGCAGAGGATTCCGAGGTGTGTTTTGTGTTCGCGACTCCAGCGACCTCTAGGGGTCGCCACTTTTCGACAAATATGGCGGTCGAAAACAGGTCGTGCCGTACCATCTTCCAGCTCAACGCAGACACGTATTTGCTTGAAAATTGTTTGCCTGGATTTTTATCCACTTCGTTCAAAACCTCCGGTGATGTGTTGTCGCCAGCAAACTTCTAGAGGCCTTGGCTTCTTTGCAAGCAATGGAAAGAATTGGACTACCTGCGGTCCTTCTCCAGTGCTAATAAAGGTTGATAAACACATATGGGCTTGGATCACGCGGTTGCGTAGGTCGCGTTGAGAGCAACCTTGGCAAGACGCTGATGTCACAGTAACGACAGTAACCAGAACAACTGTTCGCTCCGACACAACATAAGAAGAAACTCAAGACGCACCATTTTAGGTCATTATGAGTCACGGTTTTCCCTGTGGCCCTGTCGTTTCTGCAGATTTCGTTGCTGACGGCACAACCAACGCAGCTTCCCTCGCTTTTCTTCGGTGGCCATCGCGCCAACCACCTATAAGTCACGGAAGCCACAGGAGATACAAGCAGAAATCGCGAAATAACTTTTTTGGGCCAGTTTTGTGTTTTCGCGCTAGGTGCCGTCCGTTTTGCAGTCGTAAATAGGTCGTAGCCGAGAAATTTATTCGCTCGATTCGGCGGAAAAAATGTATCTACTCAATTTAGCTTAAAATGTTGCGAGGAAACGTCTCCGTTAGATTTAGTGGGAAGATGTCCCCAATAAATTTAGAGGTAAATGTTTTCTGCTAAACACAACGGCATCACGTGACGCCAAGTCAGACCATGACGTCACGTGAAACTGTGACGTCATGTGATATACACCAATCCGCTATGTGGCACTGTGACCTTACGTGACACCATGCTGTTGTGTGAAACTACAACGTCACGTGGAACTGGCGTCATGTGGCGCAATATCGTTGTGTGACACGGAGCTCGCCACGTGACACCACGTCGCTGTGCGACATTGTGAAGTCGCGTGACACCATGTTTTGAGAGCCTGATGTCACGTGATATCATGACAACCGCGATACTGTGACATCGCATGACGTCCTGATTAGTCTGCAGTGTGATTGCGTGTAATCTGAGTGGAGCCGAGTAGCATAAGTACGCTGTCACCGCAGTTCATTGGCGGTGACACGGCAAGAAACCGGGAACATTTGTTTTATCCGACCACGACTGCTGGAATACGATCGTTGCATCGCTTATCACCCTGGCGAAAAATGCTGAGTCACTGAGCTGTGGACGCATGCACAGCGTCTGATCAACCGCTCAGCAGAGCAAGAGCGCATGCTCAGAAAGCGTTCCATAGCCAAGCAGACAAAGATGGCGGCGTACAGGAGGCGATTTTTGCAAAGGTCTATACAATCAGTGCTGCAAGGATGTCTAGTTAACTTTTTCAATAAGGAAATAAACTGCCCATGACAGTCATTTTTAACGCTTTTTTTTAGGTTTTATCCGCAAAACTTTTGATGGTCCATCAGGCTGATGGTCTGTTTTATTTTGGGACATTGATGGTCTGATGGCCTGATGCTTTGATAGTGTGATGGTTTGATGGTCTGATGGTCCGCCTTATTTTTGGACATCTGACGGCCTAATCGTTTAATGGTCTGTTAGTCTAATGGGGGGTAGGAATCAACCGGAATAAATATCTGGGGGGCGGGATGCTGGTGGTCATGTCTGAATTGGCTAAATACTGCATTTAAATAAAAAGTATATGTATTCATCCGCTCAGTATTATTCTTTTGTTCTATTTTTCTGATATCTTTGCATTTTATTTAAATATTTTCCTTGCGATGTTTATTTACTTATTTATTTTCCGGTTATCGAAACAGCGACAGATCCCCGATCCGGCTCCTTTGTAAAAACGTTTGGAGATCACTGTTCTAAATGATTGTACTATAATCGGATGCCTAGCACATATCTAACTTAAAATTTCACCGTTTCCAACAAAACGATTTATTTCCCAGACAGAAACAGAACTTCCTCGAAACTTTTCATCTCAACTTGCCTCACCGGCGGATAGAGGGCGCTGACGTTTTCGCCGCAATTAGGTTGGTTCAATTTGGTTGGTTTCGGTTTCTACTTGAACGCGACTGTATTGCAGCTCTGTGTGGTTTTTGCTTAATCTTAGGATACCGATATGTCCCTTGTAGCGCAAACCTGAGCAGTGCACTGAGCTACTTTGAGAACCACGAAGTTGTTTCGAGCCGAAATTGCGGACTTTTTTTGCGAACACATTTGATGCGTCTGATTACGTTTATCCTTAATTTCGGCCATGTTCACCGGCGAAACGACAGAACTGATGGATACTGATGGATGATGCCCATTAATTATTACCATCGTCTACTACCGCGTATCCGATGACATAAGTTTCCAGAAAAATAACCTAATTTATAGACTAATAGATGAACGCATTGTGAAGAAGCAGGTCGACAGCCTAATTATCAGTGTGCTCAATCGAAAAGAACGCATGAACTCGCAAGTTACGATTGGTCTTCATGGGCACCATCTTTTTGTGAACTTGTCAGACTGGAAAAGTATAATATAATGACGCAAATAATCTATAAAAAAATGTTGTATCGGCTTGCTTTTTTATGATATTAAGTGTTTGAGGAATATTTTGACAGTCCGGCGTAGGCCGAGTAGAACATTTTGTAATTATCGACCCTGATAAAGTACTTATTAAGCGCATTTTAGAATAATGAACTAAAAATATTCTATATGTTATATGGACATTTGCTTACGGCGAACTCAAAATGTAAGAAAAATCACAGGCTTGTTAAATTAAAGCCCGACATTTTTCTTCCGTGAATTTTGACAAATAAAATTAGAGAGCGCAAGAGAAGTGATCTCAGCAAATTTAGCTGAAGTCTAACCCCATGGCGTCACTTCATGGAGCTGTGTAGGCAGTTATTTATTTCTTTGAACAGATGCGCTCTGCAGATTTCGGCATCAGCAGGCACTGAAAGTAAATCTCTATTCGCCATCAACAACGCTGCACTTGGGTGATTTTCGTGCAGACGACTTCGTTTCGGCGTCACATATCCTTACAAAAATGGCATATCTGAACTATGTAAAAAAAAAAAAAATATGGGTATATAATGCGGGCTTCTAACTCCGATTCCCTCAGACCCTGTCCCCGGATGAATATGACACTTCAATACTTCGCTCTCGGCAAAAGGGTTTATTCACTACTTATTGCCTGGGGGGTTTCGAGATCGGACGACGGTCATCAGCGAGGCCGGGGCAAAGTCCGCTGCTAGAGCAGCTGCTCCACGTCATAGGGAACGTCGTCGTCCAGGGTCGCCGTCCGATCTGTTTGTCGAGTCAGACACTCGACGTCTTGCCCGCACTTTCCCCGCGCCTGCGTCCCAACCCCGCCAAATCCCGCGCCAGCGTCCTCGTCTCCTTGTCACCGCTGCACCATCCTTCGTGTCCCGCCGTTCGAGAGAGCGTCACCGTCCAAGAGCGCTGCCGTCCTAGAAAGACTTTCTTTTTCCGGCTTCCCCTTTTCAAGCCTTCGCCCCTTTGTCTTGGGACGCCAGTCGCGTGACGTCAGTTTGCTTAGGGGAGCGCCGTACCCGGATCTCTGGTATGCCAGGCCATGGCCGCTGCCCCCAGGCATGACGTATCTCGGAGGCCGAAAATTGGGTCTCGGAGGGTCGGCGCAGGGGAGGGCAGCCAGATCTCCACAATAAAAAATTGGGCATATCTGGTCATATAAAGCATATCCATTTATATAAGGCATATCCGGCCAGATATGCCCAATTTTTATATATCCGTATCTGGGTCGGCCAAATAGAGGTATATGTGCCTCCCATATAAGGCCATATATATCCCAATCGAATAAGGCAACCTTTACAGATACTGTTATTTTCTACAAAAATCTACCAAAAGTGACTTCTCATCTGTATAAGAAAAAAACCAATTGGATATTGAGCATGTGCCAACTTTTATTAACTTTTGCATGAGCTGCGCTTTACGCCACTCCTGATTTCGCTCAACTTGGTTCCCCGGGAAAGCAGGATTATCAACATTCGCGTAACGAATGTCGATGAAACGTTAGTGTCGACGAAGTGTGTGCCCATGAAACGTCTATCCACGAGAAGGTGGCCGTGGAACGTGTTACCACGAAATGTAGGAAGAATATAAAATTCAGTATTCTACCTGCAGTTGTGACATGATTTCAGACGGCCAATGGCAGGTGACTGCTGGCAGAACTTCGGGGAAATTATTCTCCCAGCTGCCAGGAGATCGAGACGGCCTAATTCTAGAGGGAATCTGGAGCAGTACCTGTAGGAAAACGATTAATTGTCGCGAAATAGGTTGCAGCGCATTTACGTTGACGAAACGGGACTTGAAAGTTGTAATCCGAGATATATGTCGACACGGCCACGGCAGAACCACCACTCAAACGCAAAAACGAGAAGGAGGGTGTCTTTGAAGATTCAACACGATGTAGCACAAGCTGTCATTTGTAGAACCGAACACTAGACGCATCACAAAAAAATTATTGGGCTTATTCGAAGAAATCGCTTGTTGCCGATGTACCGGGATGACTTTTCAAACGAGATACCATTTACTACACAAGCCGAATTAATCTACAGCAGCCACACAGGGCGCGCCATACGCCAAACTAGGTCCGCATCCGCAAGCAGGCATTTCGAGAATGCCAATGACTAATGCGTCATCCATCACACCACGCGACTATGCTTCTG